CTTTTGTTACTTGTAAGATCATTGATGTATTGCCCGTGAGGGATAGCCATTCAGCTCAGTGTTTACCCGTAGGATTCGGCCACTTTTTCCACGGAACCTTCTACCCAAAAAGAAAAAAAAGAAAAAAAAAGGTAGCAATGGAAACTGCGTGCGCGGGAAAAAGTCTCAAAATACCTGCAACCCCAGCCAGGCGAGGCCTAGACACCGGGACCACGTGAGGTGCGCATATTCATCTATATCTACCTTCTCTGTAACGATCGAGGCCGACTTGATCCAATCCACCATCTCCGTATCGGGTGCTGGGTACGCTCCGAAAACTCAGTGGATAGCTTCTCCTCCATGATCAAGGGTGGGTGATGAGTAGGGCTCCGACCCTACCGTCTGATCTGATCGTGGTTAGCTTCATGATAATGGTGATAGGGGAATGTGTTGAGAGATGAAAACGATACAGACTGCGAGAGCGATTGGGAATTCTCGTCGAAGTGAGGACTTTGATACTCAATCTCGGCTCTGCAGACTCTACAGTGAGAGCTGGAGGTTCGTAGGGGACACAACTGACAGGTGTTCAATCTTCGTCCTCCGGGAGCTAGAAGACATGTCGTACTCTACTGAAACTGTGTCGAATTAGGCACACTACTTACGCTAAACTTTAATTCTGGCCGGGGGCCTCTAGGGCCAGGGCAATATGTGTCGCGAGATCAGTTCTAGGAGTATATAATGCCGGGTTAAAGATCCATGTCAGGTACAATTTAGACAGCCGAGAGAAGTCGATGGCTCGAAAGACACGTACGAGTCACGTCTTAAGGCAAAATAGAAAATTTCAAGTTACTCATACCTGCCTCATGCATTCTTCTCATTAGAGCCATCACTCCGAGGCTCGACCTTACAGAATTTGTAGCTGCTGGGACGGTTGATAAGATTTCCCGCATGACTCCAGCGAATCGTTCAAGATGACCAGCCCTTGAGCGTTGCCTTGACGGAACAGCAGGTATTTTTCGGTAGATATACGCGATGATTCAGAACCCCTCACAGGTCATGGTGTGAAGAATTATCGGGTTATTTACTCCTCGCACGGACAGACAAAGTATGAATCAGGGCGAGCCAGTGTAGCACCAGCCTCATAGTTTGCAGGCATGCCAGCTGAGAATGAGGTTCATGCTAATCTATGGGGAAGACCGACAAATAAGGATTTCTCGGAATCCGTACCACCTGGGATACTTCCAAGGTCCAAGAGTAGTCATGGCGCGCCGGTGCTAGTCAAACTCTTCTTGTCCCTACCCAGCTGTAGTCTCGCTTCTAGATGGATCTGGCCGTGCGCAATTATTGCGGGAGACGCTCGGCCGAGATAAGCTGTTCATTTTTTCTGGAAAGCCTTGATACATTAGGTTTTTTTAGGCTGAGTTTACCTCCAAATCTTTCGATGAATAGTCCAAACCGCGTCACTAGACTATGAGGGGCCATAGACGTTGAACTGGTCTACAAAGCCAGTTTTGGAATTGTCTAATGTCCTAAGTATCGACCCAGATACTTCTATTAGCAGTAAGCCTGCTCACCTATGACGATAAACTCGCGGATACTTACCAGTAGTACGACTTGAGCACGGCGGCTTCATAGAATACCACCAGCAGTCTCTGCTCGAAAACGTCCTCCTAACCTGCTTATGCAGACAAAATAAATCTTCAAATCACTCTTTTGCCATCTCATGCAATACTAATCCGAGCTCTATATCACACAGAATTCGGCTACCAGCACACTCCTAGGCTCTTCCAACAGGGGAAGGAATTCATGTGTTTGATATTTAGACACGTGCCGCACGTCTCTTTTGAAGGACAGACTGCCGCTTCTTATTGGCACGGTGTTGGGGGATAACAGGTCATAGAGCCTTAGATTGAGGTAACCAATCTCTTTACTCAATTTCACTTGTAAACCATGGTGACCTGCGAGAGTCAAAAAATCATGTTTGATTAAATGTTCGAGTACAGGGTGTCGAGATGCTGACTTCTATTTTCACGCTGGATCTGTGTAAGTGCCAATAGGTCGTTTCGTCTTATTGAAACTGGTATTTTAGTACAGGGCAGGCACTACTTTAATAACTAGATTAAAATCGAAAAAGATTGCTGTGTAGTCTGGTTAAGAACTCTGCATTGTTTGATCAAGGGTCTCCTTAGCTGTCCTTCGAGGGCGACTTCGGGTAGGGCTAGGCAGCTAAGCTGCAGAGTTGCATACGACGTATACGAGAGGATTGCGCATAGCCAGGGAGAAAATGGGGGCGAAGGCGGAGATCGCTCACATCCCCTGACGTCTTCTCAGAGAGGGTCAAGTCTTTTTGGGTGAGCGATCTTGGCTACGGCTGGTCGGGGAGTCTTGCACTGCACATTTTGAAAGTTGTCTTCGGACAAGTTTCAAGGGTGCTAGGAAAGCCCAATAGATGCCTGCACAGCCGGAGCCTGGATAAGAGAATCCTTTCAGCCGTTTTCACATCTGCAGCCACGCGGACTCAGTCAGCCTGGATCCTGGATCCTCGGAGAAGGTCATATGTCGAGTCTGTGCACGCACCTTTCAAACACCCCGTCGGCTCCGCAACATTTTTATCTTTGGCTTCTCACTTGGAGGTTGGCCTGGTCAGCTGTCGTGGATACTGCGAGGACAGGGCAGTAGAAGTCTTTTGGGCCGACGGGGGTTAGGCTACATGCACGCGAGAAGGAATCAAGTGCTTGGTCCGGCGTCTATGGAGGTCTGGCGGCTGCCATCCATCAAGGTAATTTAGAGAGATCGGTGGCTTGAGCCCAGCGTCGCGTCTCGCAGATGGCCCACAGCTGCAGTGGCGCAGCACGATAGGCGCGGCTGAGCCGAGCCTATACCACAAGACGTACCCTGGTCCCGTCCGGTGCTAGGACTAGCCAATTGAAACCTCGGCTTCCGACTATGGTAGCAACCAACCACTGGGCGAGAGTTGCCCTCCCATCTCGAGTGCGCGTAAGGGCTCCGATGAAACTTTAATTTCATCAGTAGATGCCCTTCGAGCCGCGCCTCCATAATGCGTCCGCGCCTACGATTAATCCGTTAGCCCGTGAGAGGAATCGTCAGGGGTACTTCATCTATATGGGAGCCGCATTATAATGTTAGGTGTAACCTCAGAGGTTTGATGCTAAGTTTGCTAGACTATATATTGTCTGAGAAAATGGGCCTAAGGAAGACATCCAATCCGATGCCAATTTCTACCAATCTCTATAGACTTTATAGGACAATAAAAACTCACTCGCTCTCCTCACTCACTGCGCTGATGTGACGAGCTTAACCAATACCACTTCCGAAATCTCTTATCTCAGGCGGGAGAATTTTCCATGCTGTGAAGTCAACTTGTCCTCTGACGGTAATAATGACCCGAGCGGTCTGTTGCATCACCATTCGATCCAGCCCTTCCATGTGGTCAGGATGAAAACTATCAACTCAAAATAACCTCGCGATAAGCCAATGCGCAACCATTGCCCCGGAAAGGGCTACCCCTGATCTCAACTGTAGCCCTTACAGTTGTCACAACCGAGGTAGCACGAGAGTTTATGAGATTGAGGTCAAGATGCTGGGCGGAATCGCTCCAGTCTTCTAGCGCCCAGAGATCACTAGACACAAGCCCCATCCGTCTGCATGCCGACCATAGTGCAGCCGCTTCTGTGTGAGTTTGAGCAAGTTGGTGCTTAGATGGTGTGTCAATAGCATGCCATCTGCCCTATCTAAGCCTACTAAGCCTCTTGCCTAGCAGGTTTGTAAACGGCTCCATCTCTTCTCCTCGTCCACCCTTACTTCATCACTCTCTTAAGCTAGTAGCTACTGATAATATGATATCTCACTCCTTCGTAAACCCCTTTATACAAAACAAGGAGCTTCTAGTGGTTTGGTACCTATTTTCTGGAAAATTAGCGCCTTTCGTTCTAACCTGCAAGGTAACCTCAGTCTTTTGTGTCATAGCTAGATAGGCTGAATACACTTAATGATTAAAAAAAGGACCTTAGTCTTTACTCCTACGCAAACCCCATGGCGAAGTCTCATAGCAGGGCGCTTATATTTCTTCCCTTAACCTTGTGTACGTGTGAGTTGGTCGCAATGGTGAGTTCAACATCCCAAATCCACGGCTTATTACAGAGGTGGCCCTACTTAGGACTTTGAATGCCAGCCTCCTCATCATTAAATTTTCATCGCTGACTCAGTGACTCCATCGTCAGTGCCCAAGCCACTAGTACCAAGTCAATCTCAGAACTTAGGAATGAAGGCGAAAGCGGCCTAGGCATTAGCACGAAATAGATCGGCTGATAATCAGTCGCAGAGACGTTTATAGAGGAAAGATATAATCCACACGTTTTGTTTGGTCTCACGAAAGACTGCGAATTTTGGAGCTTCTCATAGTCGTTGTACCCAGGATTTATAGAGAAGATATCTGCTATGTGCTCCGAAAGTACCTCTACCTTCGAAAGGTAATAAGTCTGAAACCCTTGATTCCTAGTGTTGGCTAGGCACGTACATACTTATGCATATCCGCTTTACCGCGGCTAGAGCCGCCATAGGGCCCGTTCACAACACATCCTTAACCCTACTCCCTTACCTAACTCCGAGTCCGGCCCTTGTGCATGAATACGTCGCTAAGAGGGTCCAAGGAAGCCACATGCAAGCTCGGTCCGGGGCTCCTCACTATACCCTTTTCGGGCATTAGGTCATTCTGCTCGCAAAAATGTGTGGGGAAGGTTGTAAGACCGTCAGAATATGTCTCAGTGGCTGCTTAAACGAGTTCCACTAGTATTTACCGAACTTCTAAGCTGCTCTGGATTGCTCCGGTCGCTGCCTACCTTCCGTGTTATCGCTTCTAAAGCGCGATAAATAGTACCAATACCAAACGAAAACGAAATACGGAACCTGTCGTATCTTTAGTCATGGAATACGCATCCTGAAGCAAAGACATACACCACATGAATATTCAGCAATTCCGATGACCAACACTATCAACAGCAATGGATCAGCAACCTGCCGCGCTTGTCAAACCCATCAAGCCAGTCAAACCTCGTCGAAGTCACTGCAAATCCCGCAACGGGTGTCTCCATTGCAAGCAAAGACGTGTTAAGGTCAGTCAGTGATTAATACCAATTTGGACGGAAACGTCCAGAGCGTTGTCAGGACAATTGAGCCCTCCTTGGACAATCTACCATTTGCAGCCCACTCCGCTGCAGCTACCCAACGTATCCAATTTCATTCTTGCAAAATCGTCGTTTATCGAGAAACACATTGGGCTTTCTCATAGAATTATTCCAAATATTCTCAAATTTTTGCCCAGAAAATGCCACCTGAACCTCATGACTGCTATCTTTGGGCTTTAGCCACTCCATTTATTTCTCTCGTATCCTCATTAAAAATAACCTTGTGGTGGGATAACTTTTCGCTGATGGTAATACAGTGCGATGAGCAGTACCCCACGTGTGGGCCCTGTGCCAAACGCCAACTTACGTGTGACTTTCGAAGCACCCGGAGCCAATCATCGCTGAGCGACTACTTGGGCACTTCACCGCGGCATTCTATCTCCCCAAGGTTAGGTACAAACTCTCCAATTTCGGCCTCAAACGAGATATCTCAAATCGATTCTGATACAACAACTCGACTAGTGGAATTAAAGCTCTTTCATCATTTCTCAACGCAAACCTATCGAACTATTGCGTTTAAAGCCGCTGATCATGTAATTTTACAAAAATATGTGCCTGAGATAGCCCTTTCTCATCCTTTCCTGATGAACGTAATTTTTGCCATGGCAGCTTTACACCTTGAATGGCTGGATCCCAACAGGAGCAAATCCTGGCTAAGAATTGGGTTAAACTATCAAAACCGTACTTTGGTGAAATTTACTGGCGTTTTACAAGAGATAAATAAGCAGAATTGTGAAGCTGTGGCCATATGCTCCATGTTTATTAGCGTAACTTCCTTGGCGGTGCCAGCAGTTACCAGTGACGAAACCTCCGTGGATCCTTTTTCTGAAATATCTAGCAGGCGAAGCTTATCGGAAGGGATTAACAATATCCTCCGCGCTTATGAATCTGACCTAACAACTGGGCCTCTGAAAGATTGGTTTGAATCAGTAATAGAATGGGGCCGTTGTAAACCTGAGAGGACCGAAGTGACTAATACTGGTGACAAGTATGTCTTCCATACATACTCATCGAGATCAAGCTTTAACGTGAATAGCCCACTAACGACTGAACAAGTTGAAACCTACTAGTAAGAGACGTGGGATCCTATGCATCTAGACTACTGACCGTAACCAGTTCAGTCCTTGAATCCATATCTTGGCTCAAAGGATACATCCAAAAGCATCCAACGGAGAATCAAGAAGCACTCCTTGAGTCCTGTACTCTGTTTGAAGATTTTATTTCCCCAATATCACGAATTAGAATTGTAACAGGCTCACTATTTTGGATTGTTTCAATCGACATTAAAATCATACAGCAACTGAATATAGATATAATGTCGCGGTTAATATTCCTGCATTACGGAGTAATATTTCATGTTCTTCGAGATAGGTGGTTCGTGGACGGTGCAGGAAAGCGAATCATCGCTTCTTTGATTGAAAACAATGAGACCTCAGATTCTGAAGAGTTCAAAAACATGATTCTATGGGCTCGTAATGTGGTGGGATTATGAATCTTAATGCTGTGATGATGTTATCTCCTATCAACCCAAAAAGACCTACAAAGCTACACGCGCACACACTATATGACTACAGCCCCTCAACTGTAGGAAAATGCTGGCCAATAACAATCCAAGCTCGAAACAACCATCGGAGCCAGATCTAGTTGTGCTGTCAATCAGACTCTATGGAACTAGCCTTGTACTCCCTAAGTTTCGAACCACCTAGCTCGTAGACACCTCTTCACTACTATTCATCTCGAGACGAATTTTCATCAGCTGAAAAGCTTAAACCCTTCATATCATGGATTTTGTTGGTACAACTAATAGTCTTACTGCAGAATCAGCTCAATAATTTTATGCAGCTTTCCTGGAGATAAAAATACCAGACGACTCTCTCTGGCGCATACCGAAACCAAGCATTCCTCACTTCGGAACCTGGAAGCACAATTTATAACTCAAAGCTCAGCTATTCTAGATAGTTGTTAACACCTAAAGCTATTCAGCTTAGAATAGACAAAAGAGCAGAAGCCTGGCTCTAGGGACAATTTGTGCTTCTCTACGTTCCAAATCGGTCTGGAACTGAGAGAAACATTGAAACAAGCTCCATAACTCGAGTTACGAACCTCGACAGAATCTCAATATATACTTGTAAAAACATCTATTAGCCCAGGGCTCCATCCAAGACAACGTGCCATCATAACTTCTATGATTTCGAGATTGACTTTAGAGCTATACTTTAACTCCCTGTCGCTTTGAGTTGAATCAGTCACGAGGTAACCTAGCTAGCTCTGTGAACAAATTTGGCGGGTTAAAACATAAGCTGGATACTAGGGATGAAGATATTTGCAGGTCCATACTAATATATATGATAGCAATGCCATCCAAGCTCTAGTCTTCAATGAAGTGGCTCAAATTAGCTTTATCATCAAAATTTTTAGGCTCTACATTGGGAGTTAACACGATTACTATTGTGGGAACGGATTATATAAAGGCCAGTAATTGCACCATTCAAGAGGGAAAAACACACCAGGGCCTGGCTAAATTAAATAAATGATATTAACGCGCTCAAATAAGTTTTCTTACAAATTAATGAATAAAAATGACCAGGACGATAAAAAAGTATCATTTATGGAGTCTTGAATTCTACATGCTTCAAAACACAACAGATTTTCTTTGAGTTGTTGCATTGAGTTGTCTATCTTTCGGGTAGCCTTCAATCTCACCTTTAACACACCAACTCTCTACGCTGATCCAAACTACAAATATGTTTAGGTCACGGGCCCGATAATTATGTTGACCCCTCCCATTCCTCGGCTTGATGCCGAACTTCGTCTACTTGTGTGACTTCTACAACCCCCATACCTACAATGTTAAATACAACGAGCGTTGTCATCAAGGATGTTACATGACTGCATTTCAATAAAATTATGACATTAGAATAATAAGCACACGCGCTGTGAGATATGATTAACTCTAATCCACATTCATCGGTATGATCAATTATCCCTCAATAGACTCTTCAAGGCATCTATAGGCTCTAGAATCTCTGGTATCTTTCCTTTATCGGTTAGATTGTGAAATATGTTGTAACATTTATTAGTATGTAGAAAACACCTTCACATATGTAGAGGAACTACTTATCAGGTAGATAGAGTAAGCACTGCGTTAACTTTAGATTATACACAAACTCGAGAATACTCGAGAACATCCTAAAGTTGGTCAACAGCTATAGTCCCATGAGTAAAACACACGAACTTTACTTTCCTTTGAGCCATAGTTATCTCCTCACTACTCTAATATTAATGGTACGTCATTTTAGCTTAATATACCCTTTCAACAGGGATAACTTTGTTCTACATCACTATAAGACTTAGATGGGATGTAAACGGAAAAAACAAACAACCAAACGCCAAATTCAAGAAACTCGAATAATCCAGTTTTTCTTTTGTCACATTCCTATAATCATATCTGTGCTTGAATTCTCGAACTAATAATCATCCAGACGTATTCGAAAATGCCTTTGGTGAAGAATAAAGACACAGAGTTAACGACGTCAGTTAGCTCTGAACGAACAAGATTGCGTTCAAAATCAACAAGCCTCACGCAAAAATTTTCTAGCATGTTTGCGAGTGAGGCCTTCGTCTAAGGAAAGTAGACAAACCTTCCTGATAAAAAAATGACTTAATCCGAGCCAGCCCCAGATGCAAGCAACTCTAGGAAAGGATGGGGCTCGTCAGAGAAAAGATGACAGAGCCTGCAGTGTCTGTGTGTGTTTATTGTGCTACTTGAGACTATGACTATCTAGCATATTGGTCTCCTCTCTGACCCAGGCCACACCGTGTACAGCGCTCCTATCCTCTTTTGTTACTTGAAAGATCACTGATGTATTCCCCTTGATGAATAGCCGTGCAGCTCAGCATTTACCCGTGGGATTCGGCCACCTTTTCCACGGAACCTTCTACCCAAAAAGAAAAAAAAAGGTAGCAATGGAAACTGCGTGCGCGGGAAAAAGTCTCAAAATACCTGCAACCCCAGCCAGGCGAGGCCTAGACACCGGGACCACGTGAGGTGCGCATATTCATCTATATCTACCTTCTCTGTAACGATCGAGGCCGACTTGATCCAATCCACCATCTCCGTATCGGGTGCTGGGTACGCTCCGAAAACTCATCGGATGGCTTTTCCTCCATGATCAAGGGTGGGTGACGAGTAGGGCTCCGACCCCACCATCTGATCTGATCGTGGTTAGCTTCATGATAGTGGTGATAGGGGAATGTGTTGAGAGATGAAGACGATATAGACCGCGAAAGCGATTGGGAATCCTCTCCGAAGTGAGGACTTTGATACTCAATCTCGGCTCTGCAGACTCTACAGTGAGAGCTGGAGGTTCGTAGGGGACACCACCGACAGGTGTTGAGAATATTCCCCCAGAGCTTGCAGTGTTATAGCGTGCTCTAATGACTCCAAATATCGCCGTCTGCCAAAGGTATCCTAGTAATGACTAGGAGCTTAAGTACTAGAAGATAAAACTTTAGGATATAGATTGAGGACAGAATCGGCGAGATGCCAGATGCCAGGAGGCGAAGACGAGGATTGAACGAAGTGATATGACGAGACGACATGGGATTGCGAAAATTATGATTTAATAAATATACAAGCATATAAGATAAAGATATTAAAAGACTGAGAAGCTTGAGGTCTACTTTGTGGTAGCTTCAGCTTCCCTGAATACAACTAAACTATGTAACACAATCCAACTCTGACTATAGCAAGTTCTAATCACAACTTAAACCCTAACCTCAACAAGATTGATTCAAGTTGGCCCGTTATCTGATCTCACCATATAATTCCGAGTGTTGGGGTATGCCGAAGACCTGCTTCTTGTAGCTTTCGCTTAATCCCTGATTCAAAAATTTCTCGCCATGATATGCAGAATAATTTGCGCAAATTTAGCTTTGCTAGCCTCTAAAAGCATAGATTCGACTAGAGCAATGGAATATCCACTAGAGCTGCATATAGTGATGAAGGCTAAAAAGCGTCGGATGGCACAAATAAAAGCCCGCCTATCAATCTGCTCGACCGCAATAAGTAGCGTAGAAGCGGCACTTTTGCCACTCTCGATGGGCGAAAACAAAGACTTTGTGGACGGGATTAAAGTCAACCTGCGAGCGTCCATTGGAAATTTTGTACAGCCCGTCCCGGGCTCGACACCACCAGCTTTTCAAACCTGCCTCAGTATCCCCCTTCCACCGAGGGCTACACCAATAAGGGATATCAAACCTTCGACAACCCAGGCTCCAGCCCGTAAGACAAACTTACCCACCATAGCTCGAGCAGGCTGTCGACAATCAAAAAGGTAGCACTATCCGCCCCAAAAGCAAGGAGTTTAAATACGAAGACAAAAGCCGACGCCTAGCGTTTTCTACGCCTCGCCCCTGACCACAAACTCCGACATCTTTTATCAGCTGGCATAAGATCAGCTATGTCACAGGGACTCGGCACTTTCACCAACGATATTACTTGTACCGGAGGCTCAAAATCGGCTTTTAGCCCACAGTTAAAGATGAACTTTCTCGAAAAGAGGCCTAGATTCCTTCGCTCTACGGTGGGAATTAGGCATCAAACTTGAACAAGAATTAAATCTAGCTGCTAGACAGATTGCCACTGTACTAGTGACAACCTACACATTATCTGGACCCATCGCTACGAGGGCACAGATGGTTGCCGAAGAAGTCACGCGAATGAAAAATCGAATACTTTTTTCGCTCGTACCTATGGGACTTTCAAATTCGGGGTTTCTTACTTGGACAAGCAAGCGCTATTTTCTCGTGAGTCCCCGCCCCGACCTGGATTTTAACTTTTCGACGATTTCGAAGCTCTTCTAACCTCGTCGAAAAATAGAGCGATGCGAAAACTGTTTTGGCTTTCATGCCATCCGTGACTGCTTCCGCACTTTTGACTACTGGAATTGCGGATCAAATTTGCACTCGGCTTCCGAGTGCAAGGCTTCACAGGATTGAAAATGTAGGGGAAATGACCAATCAGATTCTCGGGACTGCCTTGCCAGGACTAAAAAGTCTAGAGCGGTGAAGAAAGAATAGCTCCCGGCGATTAGTGGGCTATAATTCCAGCCACCTCATTAATAGAGGGTGGGATGTGATGGAAAATACGCTTTGTACAATATTACATGAATATAGAATGTAGAATGTTGAAAGATGACTTGAATTTTTACAACCATGGAAAGATTAGGCTCATATACATGTATGATACAGATCGCAACAAGTCTTGCGTGCCTGGCGTACTTGACAATGACCAACCACTTCTCATTTACCATCATGAGACAATGTACACCGTACTACGCAAATATCCAAATGTGCATGCAACAGCAGGTGTGATTAGCACATCCGAGACGTTTGTAGAAAGAGTTGCTCGTGTCGGGAGCCCCAGACGAAACAGATTACGAATGAGTTCTGAACTCTAGGTTTGGGTTTTCAACAGAATTTATACATCTT